ATGCAATGTCATATAATGCAATGCAATAAAATGCAATGTAATATGGTGTGGTGTGATGCGATGTGATATAATGAAATGCAATGTAACGTAACGCAATATCATGCAATGTAATGTACCGCAGTGCAATGTAATGTACCGCAGTGCAATGTAATGTACCGAAGTGCAATGTAATGTACCGCAGTGCAATGTAATATAACGTAATGCAATGCAGTAGGTAACAGCAGCGGGACGTACTATAGGCTATACCTTTCAGACTCCATAGATGCAAAACAGACGCGTCTGCCTGCAGGAATTTTCTCCTTCATTCGCGACGACCCGACCACTTCAAAAAGCAAATGCCGACTACGTTCGCCACTGAGAAATAAATAGCTGTTCATATGTTCGGCAGAATTATTCGCGACGCTCTAGCGTAAGAAACAACTGAACATCGCCGAACGCAGAACTGAATACGGAAGATAACGGAGGCAGATGCCTCCCGACTGTTAATGTCTGCGGCCCACACTAGATGGCGCCAGTGCTGCTGCTGTCAACGCTGAGTCATAAATACATAAGCGTAATATACACCCCACGTGTCAAATTCCATCTTGGTGCTAACACTCGCTTATCCACGCCTGCAAACACCCCCCCCCACGAGTCTTACTAACGATCGCTTCATCCCCGTCTTATAATTTCCCTCACCATATCACTTCTCCGTGTTAACCCCCTGATATGTGCACGAGCAATATATATATATATATATATATATGTGCCTGTTCAATGTTTGTGTCCAAACTATCCTTCTGATGCAACAGCTAACACTTATTCTCACTTCTAACTATTACCGTTAGACATAAACCTTCCGAAAAAAAAATATCTCCCCAGGAATCCAAGAGATGGCACCACCGTCGCGCACCCTTATATCGGTGTGAACTTTCGGAATTTTCGGTAGAAACAAATCACCGCCTATGCAGTTCTCGTTCAACTCCCTCCCCCATCCAACTTTCCCTTCTACGTGTGGAAAGCATCCGTCCATATCCCCCGCTTGTATCTTTGGCCTCCTTATATTATTACTTCCGTACGTCCCACGAGGATTTTTTCTTGGCCACATTTATTATAAATATTCACATGCAATCGGCGCCGGTGGGATGGTCAGTATTTCTTAGAAGTGCAATGGTGCTCTTCTTGCTTTATCTTCATGTTGTCAGTAGCAAGGAGCTAAATATAACAAGGAGAGGAAGCGCCGCCATATCTGGCCCAAATTTGGGTTCGGCAGAGACCCTAGAACTGATTAGTGTTCTATTGTCTCTGGGTTCGGCTGATTATGGTCCATAGATGGCGCCCTTGAGGCAAAAAGCGCACAGCCAATCCGCTTCCTCTCCTTGTTATATTTAGCTCCTTGGTCAGTTGAATACCCTTCTCACCAACCCAACTCGCTCCACTACAAACATATATACTACAAGCACACACGCACACACACGCACACACACGCACACACACGCACGCACGCACACACACACACACACGCACGTACCACACACATACATAACACACGCACGTAGCACACACATACATAACACACGCACACGCACGCATACACATTCACACACGTACGTACAAGCTCTCACAAACGCATGGACACATGCACGCACGCACGCACGCACTCACATACACACCCTAGTAACGCGCACGTACACACACACACACAGACATGCACATGCACGCATGAATATATACACAGATGCCGTCTTCGCCACAATATATATATGATTGCATTTAGTAAAACCTCTTAAAAGACACAATGAGAGAGCCACCTCACATCTGAGTAGTAACTTGTCTTGTTCCCCTGCCCCGCGAAACAGTTTGCCATCATGTCTGTTCACCGTGCCACTCCCTAACCCAAGTCTTACCATCAGTGTCGCCCCCTACGACGCGACTCATCGTCAGTGCTGCCACCTATACACTCTCTGTCGGTGGCGCCCCCTACACGCAGACTCGCCACCAGTGTTCGCCCCCTATGTAGATTCTCGTCGTCAGTGCTGCCCCCTATATGCAGACTTGCTGCCAGTGTCGCCCCCTACGCAGTCTCACCCTCGGTGTCGCCCCCTACGTAGAGTCTCACCATCAGTGCTGCCCCCTATACACTCTCCCGCGGCGGCACTTGCCGCCGGCGCCCCCTACACAGGCGTGACGTGCTTCAGCATCTCGCGCTTGCACTTTACGCTGCAGAAAATCAGACCTTGCTTGACCATGAACTGTTTCTCGAGCAGGCTCTGCTTGCACGCGGAACAGGCAAAGCAGGTGGCCGTGGCGTGCCAGTGCATGTCCTTGTGGCTGAGTCGCTGCACGTTCGCCGGGATCTTCTTACCACACGTCAGGCAGCTCTGCGCGCGGAAGACAAGCGAACAGGCGGAGTTAAAAAAATTAAAAAATTTTATGTTATTATTTATTACGTTATGATGACAAGAGCAGTTTACATTAAATACAATAATATTAATTACAATAATATTGTATGTTGTTATAATGCTTTATATATATATTAGAGTTATTATTATGTGCAATAATTATATACTGTCATTTTAATGAGGTAATCAGGCTGGCTTTACAATTACGAATTGTAACCTGCATTAGCATAACATAAATAATTTGGATATAAAGTATAATATATAGGATCGTAACAATATAATAACATCAAGAACGTATAAAAAAGGAGAGCGTACAACGGTGAAATGCTGAAACCATGTTGCAGTATTAGTCGAATAAATAAACTTTCCCCGTTTTATTTTGACGATTCTTTGCAGTATTATTGATCAGCTGTCCTACCTTGCTAATATAAAACAAACCGCTCGTCTCTACGATGCCTCTACGCTGAGATAATGAGCGGTGAAAATCTGGTCTTTTCGCCGAACACCGACTAGACATTAGTCAGTACTGCGACCGACTCTCGTTTTGAGATAACTTCGGGAGACCTCGCGTGTTTCCGTCAATGATTGACAAATGGAATGAATGACGTTTGTTATTGATTGCCATAGTGATGACCCCCACCTGTGCCCACCTCACGCCCACCTCACGCTGGATGTATAGTAAACTCTGGTAGTATGACTTGAGTCAGCGCTACCATGGCGCTACACAGCGGCGACCGGAAGCAACACACTGGCCACAAAACGAGAGTTGGTCGCAGTACTGACTAATGTCTAGTCGGTGTTCGGCGAAAATACCAGATTTTCACCGCTCATTATCTCAGCATTCGACTCAATATGGGCAAGCATGGTTTCAGCATTTCACCTGTTTGTACGCTCTCCTTTTTTATGTATCTATTATATTATACTATATATATATATATATATATATACAGGGTTCATAGTAGTAAGACACATGTTGAAATAAGGACTTATAAGACCCTTTCTGGAGGCCAAAATAAGACTATTAAAGTACACCGACTATTAAAGTACACTAATAATATTTATATACACAATTGCACAGCAGATTTAATTATTCCGTATTATATATACAACAATTTTTACTCTCAGTCGAGAACAGTTTATAAAACAATGTTGAAAAATGGTCCTTTGGCAAAAAATAAGGACTATTCAGTACTTTTCTAAGATTTCACCAAAAGTAGTAATAATAAGGGCCCTTATTTTATTTTTGGCAAAATAAGTACTTATAAGACTTTGGAAGACCCGCTACGAACCCTGATATATATATATATTCATTCTTATTATAATAAGTATAATAAAATATAGCTCCATGTCTATTCAGAGGAACCTGTAAGTGTAGTAAAACAAAAATGCAACAACGAATCTCAACTAGCCTGCCCTCTGGTGGCCTACCTTGGCAAGTATGTTTTCGTAGCAGCCGAGGCAGTAGGGTTTGCTGTCTTTGGCTACGTAGTGTTGTCCCCCTAGCGGCGTGTCACAGTTCCAGCAGCAGAAGTGCTTGATGTGCCAGTTCTGGTCTTCCGCCTGTGTGTACTCCCTCGCAAATATCAGCTGCAAACACAAACACAGACACGCGCGCGTTAGATTTCCACAGGTAAATAAACACAAACACATGAACTGATGTTCTGACGGTTGAAGTGAAACATGTGAACAGATAAACACTCACAGCAAGTCAGATTTCTCTCAAATATCAGCTGCGAACACAAACACTGGTACACAGGTAAATAAACACAAACATTGAGGTTGAACTGACACACATCAACAGATACATACTCACGACAAGTTAGATTGATGTATGTAAATAAACACAAGCACGCGCGTTAGATTTCCACAGGTAAATAAATACAAACATAGGTTTAACTGAGACACATAAACAGAGACATGCGCACTGGAAGTTAGATTGATGTATGCAAATAAATACAAACACATGCGTTGGATTTCTACATACTAAATAAATATAAATATGGGTTGAACGGATACATATAAACAGATACACACGCACGACAAGTTAGATTGATGTATGTAAATAAACACAAACATAAGTTTGACTGATAAATATAGACACACGTTTATGTGCTACATGTACATAAATATAGACACAGTTTTGTGTGCTACATTTACATAAATATAGACAAACGTTTGTGTGCTACATGTACATAAATATAGACACAGTTTTGTGTGCTACATTTACATAAAGATAGACAAACGTTTGTATGCTACATGTACATAAATATAGACACAGTTTTGTGTGCTACATGTACATAAATATAGACAAACGTTTGTGTGATACATGTACATAAATATAGACAAACGTTTGTGTGCTACATGTACATAAATATAGAGTAGACACACGTTTGTGTGATACATGTACATAAATATAGACACACGTTTATGTGCTACATGTACATAAATATAGAGTAGACACACGTTTGTGTGATACATGTACATAAATATAGACAAACATTTGTGTGATACATGTACATAAATATCGACACAGTTTTGTGTGCTACATGTACATAAATATAGACACAGTTTTGTGTGGTACGTAACATGTACATAAATATAGACACACGTTTGTGTGATACATGTACATAAATATAGACACACGTTTGTGTGATACATGTACATAAATATAGACAAACGTTTGTGTGATACATGTACATAAATATAGACACACGTTTATGCGATACATGTACATAAATATAGACACATTTTTGTGTGATACAACGTTTGTGAGATACATGTACATAAATATAGACAAACATTTGTGAGATACATGTACATAAATATAGACACACGTTTGTGTGCTACATGTACATAAATATCTAAACACGTTTATGTGATACATGTACATAAATATAGATACACATTTGACTGGTGCATGTACATAAATATAGACAAACATTTGACTGGTACATGTACATAAATATAGACACACATTTGACTGGTACATGTACATAAATATAGACAAACATTTGATTGATACATGTACATAAATATAGACACACATTTGACTGGTACATGTACATAAATATAGACACACATTAGACTGGTACATGTACATAAATATATACACACATTTGACTGGTACATGTACATAAATATAGACACACATTTGATTGGTACATGTACATAAATATAGACACACACTGGACTGGTACATGTACATAAATATAGACACACATTTAACTGGTACATGTACATGAATATAGAAACACATTTGATTGATACATGTACATGAATATAGACACACATTTGACTGGTACATGTACATGAATATAGAAACACATTTGATTGATACATGTACATAAATATAGACACACATTTGATTGATACATGTACATGAATATAGATACACATTTGACTGGTACATGTACATAAATATATACACACATTTGACTGGTACATGTACATAAATATAGACACACATTTGATTGATACATGTACATAAATATAGACACACATTTGATTGGTACATGTACATAAATATAGACACACACTGTACTGGTACATGTACATAAATATAGATCGATGTAGGACAAATAATAAAATTGTGCATGGCCATGTGAAAGTATAGAAATTATGACAATTGAACTAAGACTGGAATATGTACACACATGTAAGGCTGCCACTTTACACGCATCACACACTCACGCTACGCACACACATACAGAGGCACAGAAACAGATTGTCACGCGGTCACCTGACAGTGTCACCCCACATCAACGTGTGTCACCGCACTTCACCGCTGTCATGCTGTCACCACATGCCATCGCGTGCCACCGTGTGTCACCCCACAGCACAGCTATCGCGCTGTCACCCGACCACCTCGTGTCACCCCATGTCACCGCGTGTCAACACGTGTCACCAGGCGTGTGTCACCGCGTCTCACCTCGTCGCAGGCCGCACAGCGAGGCTTCATGCGATCTGCGTAGTGTCTGCCGCAGTAGATGTTACCATGTGTCACCCTGTCACCCTGTCACCCTGTCACCGCGTGTCACCCCACATGTCACCACGCGCGTCACTCGTCCTCACCTCGTCGCAGGCTGCACAGCGGGGCTTCATGCGATCTGCGTAATGTCTGCCGCAGTAGATGTTGCCGTCCTTGTAGAAGTATATCAGGTCGACCAGGATCTCGTTGCACTCACTGCAGCAAGAGAGAGATGACAGATTAGGGAGAGAAAGAGAGATAAATAGATAGATAGATAGATGGATGGATGGATGGATGGATGGATCGATCGATCGATCGACCGACCGACCGACCGACCGACCGACCGACCGACCGACCGACCGACCGACCGACCGACCG